CGTCATAATCATGATCGGTTGTCTGTTTATTTATTTATTTATTTTTCTCTCCACATCTACAACTACGACCAATAGCTCATTATTGTGCGGCCCCGTTTCACATTTAGAGTTACCATATTTAGTTTAGTGCAAAGTATCACGGGAAAAACCATAATGTCAACAAGTTAGGACAATAAGTCATTGGAAGTGAAAATGACAAACGCCCAATTGTGTCAAATATGTTTCTCAGGTTCCTGTGAATACATTAACTTCAGCTCAAGGTCACTTTAAACTTCAAGTGAGTCTCACCTGAAAGAAATCAAGTGACCTTCATGTTGTGTTCGATTTATAAGTTAAAAGAAAAAGGGACATTTCCCATCATACTATTCTGTAAAAGCACAGTTACATAACAAATGGCGTCACTCAGTGAATGACGGAGGATCGGAGGTAAACCATTGCTTAACTGAAGTGCTTAATCTTCAGGTTGTGACAGACGCGGAGGAGGAAGAGTGGGGGCGGGGGCCGGGTGTTTGGTCGTTGAGAGATAGAAAAAAAAAAAAAATCAAACTGAAACCATGCTGTCATTGATTATGGTGCACAGTGGAACCTAACGCTAGCACCAGCACAGGGGGATTGGCACAAGTTGGGATTTGAATGTTATTTCTTCATCAGACAATCCTATGGTGGCCCTGAAGGTCAAAACAAAACATTTCAAAGAACACCAGGACCAATACAGGAAAAAAACAGAAAAGAAAACCAGCAACATTTTCACTTTTCTGAAATGTTGTGTTTTCTGAAAGCTCCTTGTGTTTTGACCTTCAGGGCCACCGTACAAAACAAACCCTCTTCTTTAATGTAAATACTAAATGTTTCACCGGTCAACCGTCAGCTGCAGTGGCGGACTTTGAATTTATTTGTCATTAAAATATCTTTCTGTTTCACTGCTCCTCGTTTCATAATTTTGTCGATGTACATCGCAAAGAATTCAACTGTACCTTTAAGGTGTGTGTACGTGCGTCCCTGTGTGTGTGTGCTTATTTAGTCAGGTGACATGAGCTAATGTAATGTTTTCTTTACAGCAGCAACAGTTGATCATTAACAGCTGCACAGAAAGCAGTGACCAATGTTCAGTCATGTGTAAAGATTAACCTTTCCTGTTAACGTTAAGGATTTACGAAGGGATATAAGAGCAAACCTTAAAAAAACAAAACAAACAAAACAAAAAAAAAAAAAAAAAAAAAAAAAACAGAACTGAGAGGTTAATGTCTGTGAACACCCAAAGACAAACCTATCCCTTTTTTTTTTATCTGGGCTGTTTACACTTTGTGGTCATTGTCCATTGCCATAGCAACACATCCTGCTCTTGCTCCCATAAGGAAACGAGGTTAAAGACACAATGCACAGTGGAAGTTTCAACAGAGACAGAATAAGTACTGCACTGTTTTAGACTCTTGACTACAGCAGCTATTTTTGTATTTGGTGATAGAGACACTCTGTCAAGTGGAAACTAAAACAAAAAAGGCTTCCTCATCCTCAGGGGCAATATTCGTCTGCATTTGCATCGGAGGGTAGTTGAAGTCTAACGAGAGACTAAATGTCGTGGTAAAAGCTGGAATTTCAAAAAATTCCTAGTCCTGATACAAAAACCGATAAATGTTTCCCTCCAACTTCAGGCCCCTAGCAATGACAAACCAGTGTTACAAACCACTGGGACGGGGACACATTTGGTTATAGGGCCTGCAGAAAAAAACAAACAAACAAAAAAAAAAAAAAAAAAAAAAAACAAAAAACAAAAAAAACTGTTTATTAAGTCACCCCTCTTTTCAGCTTTTGACTCATTTTTTGTCACAATTCTTTTCATGGAAAAAGCCCTCAAGCATACATTACATAACACATATTCTTGAGGAAAAATAAGCATTAAAAGAAAATACAGAGTCAAAAAATGCCTTAAAGTGCTTAATGTAAAATAAATATCTTTCAATGTGTATATTATATTTATTGTATTATTTAATAATTAAATAGTATATGATGGACTTTTTGTTATATGTTAACCTCCCCCTCAAACACAAACCCCTACTGCTGGTCCGTGGTGCGGAAAATGTTTCGGTATCAGAGTGTTAGGGTATGAAAAAAATATTTTGGTTCAAATGTTTTTTTTTACTGTTTATTAAGTCACCTGGCATTTGTGGTTTAGAAATCTAAACAAAATTTACAATGTATAGAAGAATAAATTCATCTTTCATTTCGTTTGTTAAATATATTTTGGCAGAGGATTTATTTTATTGGATTGTCTCTTTTTTTTTAAAGTGGACAATATTTTTACAATCAAACTAGAGGTGTAAAGCTGAATCAACTGTGTCCATGACGTGGCCCTCATCAACTGCAGAGGCTTCGACTCTTATTCTCCCCTGTGGTTTGTGGGTTTTCTCTAGCCATTCTTTTGGTCAAGTCAGGTGTTCAATATCTCACAAACTTCAATATCTGACATGTCACTTTTCCAATTTTGAACATCCTAGGTTCAGGAGAAGTATGTAGACGTTGACATTTACCCATATACAAAACCCTTTTATAATATACTGTATGTTTTTCTTTTTCCTCTTAATGTGAAAAAAAACAAAAATCGTGTTGCATATTTTTACACAGCACATTGGTAATTTTACAATTTGGCAGCTGCAATAATTGTTAAAATACTATTGCACATTACTGGAATATCATGACAACATTTTTTTGGTTTCCATTGGTTTCTGGGTAAACACTAGCCTTTACTGTCAAAGGTGTTTTTTTTTTCTCCCTAGTTTTATTTGAACAGATTGCAGCTTTGCCTGTTTTGAGAACTTTGTCTGAGGGGGCGGTGTAGTGGTTAGTGGTTGTTCAACACAAGATCCCTCTCTGGGAATATAAAAAGGAAATTGCAACACGAACTTCTGCTCTGCTTGCAAAAGCGCTTATACAACCTAGACTCCCTAAAACAGCTGCAAGGGGAAAGTAGTGAGGGGATAATCCACAGTCCTAAACTTCAAAGGGGAGTCGGTGATCAATGCAATGGCTTTAAAAAGTTACAAGATATATAGAGATATATATCTCAGTGCGCCTGATCTGTGACCTTCAAAATATATAGTTGCACTAGTCTTGTTCGGATACTGGTTTTAACCAAATAGTGTAGTAGTAGTATTTGTGTATTCCAAAACTGCACATCAAACAGGAAAAACTTGAAGCAAGTTTAAACTTCAAGTCAAGCCAAACGGAAACTTCAGTGTTCCCTCTCTATATCACGGTTCTCCTTTCACTCCCTCTATACATCGTGATTTTTTTTTTCGCGAAATTTTCACTGTATCGCAAAATATAACAAAAAACAAACTAAAAAAACATTGTAAAATAATTATAGATACGAAAGTTTTGTCTTTAAAAATGTGGACTAAGGTTCTGAAACTGAGATAAGCGCATTTGCGAACGATCGCTGGAAGCTCTGTTTACTTAGACGAGATGGTACACAGCATACTATGGGCTAATACAGTAATTTTAAAACGGCTCCAAACTGATGTTGAATAAACTACATATAAGGACAGTGAGACACTGAACTCCAAACTAAAAAAAAAACACATACTGACAGATCAGTACGCAGGTGGTTGTGGTTAAAAGCCGTTATGAAGTAACAGTTTGTTGGTTAGGTCTGCTGAGCACAAGTAGGAGAATTTCACGTAGTACGGGACCCAGTACTGTACACAATACTGCAACGCAATCAATCTCGATCACCTTTTCAGATGCAGTGATAACATTCATCCAGCTTATTTTGCTGCTGCACATACGCACACAATAACTCTGTGCTGCACTTTACTGCTCCCAGGGAGTGGTGGGGTTTTGAGGGCGTGCTAAAAAGGCCACAGCCCTACAGGAAATAGGATTCAAACTCTGAAGTTAATGCTAAAACGAGAGAGTAAAATGAATTAATTGATTGAAACTTCAATTTTGGACACAAGAAGTAACTGTAGAAAAATAAGAAAATATCTTAATGCCCTAAATACAAATATGACATCAATGGGTAAAGACAACTGTGCCGAATTTAACGTGTGCCCTGCTTCGTCTAATTCCAATATAAAAGCAATATTTACAAAAGTGAACATTGAAACGTTCTTTTATACGCAGGCTGGCTTTTCTCTGAACCTTCTGAGTCACTTAGCCTCAGACGTACAGCTTTGGCTACATCTGATCTGAGACCAGCATTGAAAACATGACATCCAGTACCTGGAAATCAAAAGGTGTACAAAGGTGTGTGTGGTTTCAATACACCACTGTATACACAACAGGGGCCAATGTATGTCAGCAAACAGACAAACAGAGGAGGACATGAGCCAGTTAATCATTGTCCTCCCTCTCTTCATCCTACTGTGGAATACATTCATTATAGAAGGAAAATTCCGCATCTCTGCCTTATAGCACAGAACTCCTGCCTTCAACGGAGTCTTAATGTGAATTTGTATTGCAATAACATCAGCCTTTAATTAAAAAAAAATGGTTTCATTACTGAATCCAAGTCTAAATACTGTTATCTTTACTGGTTGTGATAAAGAATCATAAGTACTTTATGTAATGTACTACCTTCAGTCCTCAACCATGTAACCAGTATTTCTCCAGTTAATAACCACAATTCTGTGGGCTGATGAATATACAGTATATATATATATGTATATATATGTGTGTGCATGTGCTGATGAATATACCGTATATATATATATATATATATAAATGCAATTAATCAAGTATATATATACATATATCTTGTGGCTCTTAGTTAAGTACATTTAGGAGGAGTTTAACTGTGCTTCTAGTCAGTATTGCTGATATCAGCATGTCAGTTGACATCTACAGCTATTTTTCTGTGTGCGTCACTCACGAGTCTCACTCAGTTCAGACAGTGACGAATGTTTGCGCGAAAGCACAAAGTCAGTTGAGTGCTATTAATAACCGATAAGAAGTGAATAGCAAAGTGAACAAAGGTAAAAAAAAAAAAAAAAAAGACAGCATTTTTTTTATACATTCATAAATTTATTTTGTCCCTTTAAGGCAATTAAAAATATAGGATTCTCTTTTTAACTGCTTTTTTTTTTATACCTCACATTGGCATTTCACAGACTTTGAAATATTTTTTTTCTCCATAAATAAAGTACAAAATACAATTTTTTTCATTAAACACAAATAAATATCATAATAAATATATTAGTTTTAAGTTAAACAACACAAGGCAACCATTAACCAAAAGGAATACTGTGGTGTTAAAGTCCCTGAACCAGGTTTTTGTCTTTAAACAAACAGAAGACAGGGTGCAAAATTTTCAAATCAGCATTAAGAATGTTTTGAGAAAAATATCTGATAAAGTGAGTCGAGATACAGATACAGGTTCACTGACATAGGCTGCATTTGATCATTCAGCATCCTGAAACGTATTTATGTGTGCACCCAGGATTCAGAAAAGTAAATGGTTACACACACACACACCCACACAATTGAATACACAGACAAACACACATAAAGCAGAGTGAAGTCTGAAGCTTTGGTAGAATGCTACTGGGAGACTTTTGACAGTTGCTCCCATTTCAATCAGCTGTAAAGTGCATATCAAAGATAAACTGGGATCAATGACGTGTCAGGTCTCAGTGATTAAGGCTACTATATCAGACAGACATGTTTATGGCACTGAGACGGAATAAGCCAATATGGCAAGAAGAATCTTTAAAAGGCACTGCTACACTGATACAACACTAAGAATTATTGATTTGTTTTTTAAACCAGACTGTTTACTGGTTCTGTCGAACCCTGCAGAAGAGCTAGCTCTCATGGAAGACCAAATATGAAGGTCTATAAGGCTACATAATCATTGCAAGTACAAAAATAAGTGTTTGATAATAATAGGTCACATTCTTTTGTTTAAAAATCATAAATTATAATTTTATCTAAAGCCGGCATGTCCAGATCAGTAATGGTTCTGAATAACGTAAAAAAAAACAAAACAAAAACAGATTCTCTTAGTCAGACAGAGATAGGCGTTCAAACACAGTGAGCCTCTTGCCGGACAATCCATCAAACGTTGGAGACTCCGTTCCACTGGATCCCCCACTGGAGCTGCTGTAGCTGTCTTCCAGGGAGTCTTCAGAGGAGAAACGCTGCAGTACAGCAGGCTTCATGAATCCCCCATGGCCTCCAGAACCAGGGAAAAGCATGTTGCCGTCCTGGTGGTGGTGAACTTCGGCCTCCATGCTGGCAAAGGCTCTGCTGTTGTTGCTGTTGAAGTTATTTCCATGGCCACACACACAGCGTGAGGCCTTTGGCTCTAGGATGAGTGGAATGTTGTGGATGTCTCCAGCACTAACGCGGTTCTGACGTTCGCCAAACTGGAATGCTACAGCCTCACGGTGTTGGGAGTCAGTAAACACTGGGGAAAGGAGGTCAGCAGGGGGTGGGGAAACGGAGGGAGCACGGCTAAACCCCAAGTTGGGATCGTTGAAGGAGGAATGGAATGATGGAGGAGATGCACTGCGGGAAGATCCCGGGAACCCAGCAAAGCTAACACACTGGCGAAGTTGATGGCGTGGATTCCCACCACTCAGATCAGTGGAATTTGGCTGGTGCTGATCAGAGAATTTGGGCAACGCACCACCACTTATTTTCTCCTCATGGATGAAGTGGCAACGTGCGCCATATGGGCAGTAACCGAAGTTGTAGAAGGTTCTGCAGGGCTCCGTCTTATATTTCGGGTGCCTGTATACTCCTCTCAGCTCTGCCTCTCCATGGGCAAACTGGCACTTACTGCCATATTTGCAGCTGCCGGTCTCCTGGAAGCCACGGCAGAGCTCAGTCTTGTAACGGTTAGAGGCCAGCATTGGTGGAACCTGCGCTTGGAGGGAAGATGAGGGCGGAAAACCTGGTGGAGGAGCAACAGTGGTGGCAGGACCTGAGGGGAAGGACTCCAGGTTCTTCATCTGTCCAAATGACGAGAGCAGGTTGCTGCTAGTCTCTGTCAGGCTCATAGAACGATCAGGTCTAAATGGGAGCTGCTTGGTTCTGGAGACAGGGGCCTGGCTCCAGATACTGGATGGCCAGAAAGGGCTGCTGTTTTCATCATTGTTGACTTGCTCCTTACTCAAACTCTGGTTCAGGGATTCAACCGGGGGTAAGGGAGAGAAAAGGGAGGGCGACCGGTTTAGCCGAGTACAGCCTGGACCCTGAGGGTGAGGCTTGGACAGGAGTAAATCATCGTCCATGGACTGTTTCAAAATGTTCTGTTAGATAGAAACGAAAGGAATACTAATGAGAACAATATAAAGTAAAAATGATAGTCAAACAAAACAACAACACTAACCCGCTCATTTTTACAAACAAAATACACCAATGCTGCGAAAAAAAACACTTGCGTCATAACCGTATTTTAGTAAACATTTGTGTAGTGCGAATAGCCAATAACTATTTGAACAACAGTCCGTAGTAAACAAAAGTTACGGCTCACCGAGTGTCCGACACCATAAAGCGTTCACCCTGACAACAACATTAAAAAAACACAGCACAAACTTGGGCTTACCTTCGTGAAAATGCTGTCGAGCATATCGGACATACTGTACGTCTTAGACGAAAATAAATAAATAAAAGCAGAAGCCTGAGCTTTGGTCCACCGCAAACGTCTTTGCTCTTCTCTCTTTAACGTTCCCGTCCAAACTAGCTGGCTTTTCTTCACGTAACGCCGTGAGGCTCTTTATATATACTTTCCATTCGCTAGATTCCGGCACGACCCGCCCACTTCTCAGGTTTCACGCTGGGGGGGGGGGGGGGGGGGGGGGGAAAGAAAAAAAAAAAAAAAAAAAAAAAAAAAAAAAAAAAAAAAATTGACTTGTTTCAAGTATTTTCAGTTACGTCACTACACGTGTATGTTTTCAGTTAACGGTACACTTCTATTGAGCACAAAACGACGTTGATTATAATTAATGATTTTAGTGTCTGTTTTCCAAATGTAAAGTTGTAAATTGTTTTTCTTCCTAAATGGGAAACGAAGTATGTATAATAAGCAGAAACACAAATTAATATTTTTTTCCTTTCGACATGTATGGGGACACGTAGCCTTATGTTTACAGTATATACATGGCCATAATGACTAATGCTTTGCTTTCTGGAAGTTATGCTAATCACATGCTCCTGAACATACAGTAACTGTTGTTTCGGACTGTTTTAACCCATAGAAAAATGAGAAATGTCGTCACCTCAGTGTTTACAAGAATGTATGTTTAAATACCACCCCCTCAGTGCTTCAGTTTACTGTGTAATAACATGGTATCTCCCACAATGTGAACAATCTAAAGCTTCCTGTTGATCAGTCCATTATATTAGTCAAAGAATATGATAGAAAGATATCAGGTTTAACAACCAAACAACTTCCCGTGTTTAAAATATACAAGACTTTTCTGGGAAATATAGAAAATATGT